AACTATAAGCATACTGCTAATAGTCAACTGACGGTCAAAGTCAAAAAGAAAAGCAACAATCAGCCTAACAAGCATAACTTTTTTGCTCAACAGGACTGTTTTCTGAAAATTTATGATGGGCTTTTTTAGGAAAAAAAAAGAGCAAGCCAAGAGCCACCAATTACTTGCTGTCTCTGTCTGTTCTGGTTTTTATTTCTCTCCTTTTCTCATCACTTTGTAATTCAGGTACATTAAGTTCCATTCAAGAGGTTGCCAATTATGAAAATGATATTTATTAAAATCTCGAACTGGATGACTAATATTAATTTCAGACTCTTTCTATTACTGTTTATGGCAACATGATACACTGTTCTGCAAGCCTGTTCATACTATGTAGATGAGCATAAATGTTTTGCCAGTGATAAGAGTTAGAGGTGAGTTTGCTGGTGCTGCTCTGCTTACCAGCTGTGGCAGACATGCCATGGTGCATTCAGTTTGGAGAGAAAAACAATTGCCAGGAAGGAAAATATGGAAAACACGAGAGACTATACAGTACATTTAAACAATGTTACTGAAAACCTCTCAAAGGTCATGCAGGTCACACTGCTAATGTTCTTGGAAACAGAATTACAGAATCACCAGTGCAGAGCAGAGCGGGACAATCACCTCCCTCGACCAGCTGGTGATGCTTTGCCTGATGCCCTCTAAGGCACAGTTGGCCCTCCTGGCTGCCAGGGTACTGCTGACTCATATTCAACTTGCCATCAGCCAGGACCCCCCAGTCCCTTTCCATGGCACTGCTTTCCAGGCTGTCATTCCCCAGTCTGTACAAACATCCAGGGTTGCCCCATACCAGCTGCAGAATCTGGCACTTTTCCTTGTTGAACTTCATATGGTTGGTGATTGCCCAGTCCTCTAATTTGTCGAGGTCTCTGTGCAGGGCCTCCCTTGCCTTCGAGGGAGTCAACAGCTCCTCCCAGTTTTGTAGTCCTTTGAAAAGTGCACACATGGTCTCACACAAGACCCAAGAGTTTTGCTTCTGTGTGACTCTCGGAGGGTTTCCTCACTCTAAACCTCTCCACCTGCTGTGGCTGCAGCTATTTCAGTTCCTTTCAGTCCAAAATAGCATCTGAAAGGGACTGAGAAACAGAACAGAAAAGCAGAGTAAGTTGATTAAAAAAAATTTTGACAGTGATCCCCCACATGAAGATACTAAAGGGGAGCTGCTAGGGGGAACCTGGAGACATCTTGATGAAGGGCAAGTGAAATCACAGAATCACAGGATGGCTGCGGGCATCCGATCCAACCTTCCAGCTCAAGCAGGGTGATCATAGAGCACATGACACAGGATAGCATCCAGACGGTTTTCAAATAAGTTTCTCCAGTGAGGGAGACTCCATAACTTCTCTGGGCAATCTGTTCAGTGTGTGATCACCTGCACAGTAAAGAAATTCTTCGTCATGTTCAGGTGGAACTTCCTGTGCATCAGTTTCTGCCTGTTACCTCTTGTCCTATTGCTTGGCACAACCAAGCACAACCTGGCTCTATTGACATGCTCCCTTTGGATACTTATATACAAACGACCGCTGCATTGCCTTGCTAAAAGCTGCATAAAGAATAATGCTGTGCTTGTTAAAAACACAAATGCCAAATAACTTCCCAGCAAATACCTGGAGAGGAAATACTGTACAGCCTATCTGAAGAAACTGCTGAACTGCAACAATGTGATCTGATGACTGGGATGGCCACCAGCACTGTTCCAGGCCCTTTCTGAGGCATACTATGCACAGAAATCACAGCTGTTAGATCACCCAGCATTCAAATTAAACATCAAAGGAGACTTCTACAAAGGGCTTCCTACTGCCAGGAAACAAGGGACAGATTCAGCTCCAGAAAGAAGGAAGACCTCTATGAGCTTCATCTTCCAGTTGAAAGGAAGAAAGTGACACCACTTTATCAAGAAATTCAAAGCAAGGCCATTGACGATGACAGTATACTAAATGGGATGTCCACAGCACCCTGAAGCTCTCCAGGTGACTGCTGTAATAGCCACGAGGCATGTTACTCTCAAGGGCAAGGAGGATCCCGTGGTTTGATGGGAAGACCCATGAACATGTAAGAGTTGGTCCCCTCAGGGAAGGCACAGACAGTGGGATGTATTTGCAGGTGTCAGAAAAACTTGAAGGACAGGGTAGGGAGTTTGCTAACTAAAACAAAACTCTGCTTCTTGCTACTCCAATGATACTTTCAATGGGGTAGGATTAAAATATTACTCAGAAATGAGCAGTAAGTGTAGTACAGTGAGATGCTGGTTCACCTAGAAGATGCCTGGATGGCTTTTTCCATTTGGAAGAATTTCTTGGGACAAATATGAAATGTTGTGGAAAGCCATTTATTGTTCACTATGTTTTACAGAGGATCTGAAAAGGGATAGAACATAGAGAACTGCCATAGCTCGTAGGATTGCAGCTCTGCAAGAAACAGATTCTTTAATGTCTCTAATGAATAGATAAAAGAGGTCCTAAAATTGTAGCTATGGGGAGTATGGCTTTATCTCTTCTTCCTCTGCCCTTAGAGAGAACCTGCAGTGCAGTAGGGCTGGGAAAAAGCCTGCATGGCCAGACTTCTGACAATGTGGAGATAAGCATACACAGGAAGCACCCTTGGCCACTCCCAGCCTCCTGGGTACTAAACGCCTGCTGTGCAAACCAGCCTCCTCCCAGCCACTCCCAAGTCAGACTCAGCTCCTCCTGAATAAGGATACTTACAAGTCAAGGAGGCAGCGTGCTGCAGAGATGGAAGACAGGAAAGATAGCGAGCGGGCTGTTGTGCTCACACAGGCACTGGGGCAGTGATTTGGAATGAATTCCATACTAGCTTTCAGTTAAGGTGAAGTGAGAAAAGACTGAAAAAAACCACATCCCAGCATACTAGGATAGATCTTAGCAAACCATGACCTTAGTCACAATGACTAAGCAGCTACAGTAGTAAATCAAGTCTTTCACAATAAAGAGATGCAAGCAAAAGTCTTTTCCTGAACAACGGGCAAGACCTATATCAGGCTCAATGTCCATAACTTTAACCTGTGAATTGGCGTTCAGTTGGAAAGTTTGTGGTGGGGTAGGGAGTCATCTCCTTCCTCTTAGATACTAAGAGCTAATTGCTGCACAACCCCTAGTAGTGCTTTTTTTTCAGTCCCCCTGAGCAGAAGGGAGAGCATAAACCAAGTATTTAAATGTATTAAATTTAAAGTATTTAAATGACCCTTGAAAAGTTACACCTGCCAGGATGAAGCTTTTCCTATTGGTAGGATAATTTGCTTTCACAGCTCATATGAAATAAATACTCTGATATTCATCTATCAAAAATGAGATCCTGGTCTGGAAGGCCAAGCAGGGGAAATACACAAACAGTAGTCAGACACGCACTTCAGTGTGTTTGCTCTACCTCTTGAGGATTTGTTTCAACTTGCACCTTGAGAACCAACAAAAATTTTCAGAAAAAGCCAAAATGTGGTAAATTCGCATTTGAAAAAAACCAAATAAAAATTAGAGTTCAACTACACTGGGCAACTTACACATGCAGCAGAAGACACACAATGGTGTTAATTGCTCAAAAAAATGGATCTCTCTGTAGTCCTCTTACCCTCCTGCCTTTATGTCTAAAACCCTAATCTCATTTTAACATACTAAGCAGCAAGATGGATTTCTTAAGATTAGTCTATATGAGAAAAGGAGAAGTTAAGGTGTTTACTGGCTAAGGAGTAAAGATATTTAGAGAGCTGCTTTGAAACTTAGTTTTTAAGGGATGCCTTTTTTCTCCTAAATAGTTCTCAGTAGCAGCTGGACTGAAAAACAAAGCTGAAGGGGTTTCCTTTCAAATGCAAAGCAATCGTAGGCTTCAGCCATAGCCTTAAAAACGTACACACAGAAAAAGGATTCTTTTTCAGCTTTAACAGAAATGCATTCACTAGAAAGGAAGCAAATGGTGTCCAAAAAGCAACATTTGTGATATGAGAAGCCTTGCCAGCTTCTCGAGTGCAAGTTACAATATGTGCCGACAGCTTAAGCAATGCAGGGTGCAAGATTAGTCACTGATCTTCTATTCACAGATGCTGTTTCTTCACTGGCAATTTACAGAAATGCATAAAAAATTCCAAACACAAAACTTCAGTGTCTGATGCGTAACTGTAGCAGTGAACTGAATCCTGCAAGGATAACTGCATAATGAACAAAATAAAGTTCAAAAAAATAAGGAAACAACTGAACAGTTACTTTACTGGTAGTCTTAGAATTTACCTTGTAACCGGTTTTTAAGCGTTTCAGGATTCATAAATATATGACAGAGAATGAATTCAGTGCAAGCTCCTGTAAACTTATGACCTGACAGTGTTCTGGCTGCACCGTACAGTGTTTTAGATAAAACCAGAAGTTATTAGGATGAAACTGACAGAATACTTACTGTAAACTTATACAATTAATCAGTGAGATTTTCATAGATGTTATAAAGGCTTTAATGTATTTAGTAAAGTGTTCTTACAGCATCAAGACTTCAAGCTTCTCAAGTAGGACTGCAGAATATGCTGGTTTGCTTTGGTAGCAGGAAGTATACAAATTTTATTTCTCCATTCTGAGAGGAAATAGAGTTCTGTTTTGGGATGGTTTTATTTATTTATTTATTTATTTGTTCTCACTGACTATCCTTTATCATAAAAGTGATCTAGTACTTTGAAAAAATGAAGATACCCAAAGTTCTGCAGCATGCAGTCAGGAGCCGGCCAAGTAGTTTGGACTTGGAACAAGGAATATTATCCAAAATTTGGATAATTTTGCTTTTATATTCACCTTAATTTTTAGATTTTTCATTTGTTAACAACATAAAACATCAATGTAAATCACAAGTATTTTAATACTGAAGTGAAAATTGAGCATGCTGTTTTAAGTAATAGCGGTATTTTATCTGGATTTTAACACACCAGTCCACTATGTTACCAGTAGCCAAACTTGGAAATACAAAGCATGTATTTTGGCAAGGCATTTTATTAAGATGTCAAATCTTTTTTGTTAGCAGCCAGTCATTGAAAACCATCTGTACACATTTAATTTAGTCAACAAAACAGCTGTACAACTTTAAGCGACGTGCCCCATTTATGTAGCTCATTAAGCTCTGAAGTGATGCTCTTCATTGTTTAAGTCCTCACATAAACAATTACCAGTCTTAACATATATTATAAAGTACGATTACATTCTTCTCTCAAAAGTACAAAAAATAACACTTTAAAATACACACTGGCTCCTAAACTTAAGACAGAATCCTGTCAGGAAGAGAATTTTGCACTTCTATAGACAGTGCCTTCAACATCAAGAGCTCTTCAAAGTGCTTGGCAGAGTGTGTGAACACTATCCCCACTTACTAGATGATGAAATAAGGCACAGAGGTCAACTACTTTGCCCACAGTCACACAGAGAGTGGGTGGCAGAACTAACAGAGCAGAATTAGGGCTTTTCAATTCTCCAGTGTAACCACCACAACCCACTGCCACTATTCAAATGCAATGGCTTAAGCATTTCTGAGGAGCAAAACTTGTACAGCATACAGTGAACAGAAGGGAAAAGCCAGGGCCAGTTAAAGGCTGCAACAGTTTCAACCCAAACCAAATTAATTTGGTAGCCAGTAAATCATAATGCACTTCAGGGAATGATCACATAGAAAATTACACACTAACCTGCAAAGAGAAAGCTCATTAAACGTAAGACATATGGTGTTAGCTTTGCAAAAAGTACTGGTTATCTTAAGCTTAACAGCAGCTCAGGTAATGTCAACTTTGTCAGTGGTACTTTCTGACCCACAGACGTCTTAAACACTGTTCTTCTACCAGCAAGGTGCACTTCTCTGGAGAGTCACAGAGAAATGGAAATAAGGAGCCAAATATCTCCTCAGTAGGCATGGATGGGTATCAGGCACAAAACCCCACATTAATCATTTGTGAGGTATGGACTAAGTGGTAAAGAAATACCAGTGTGGAAAAATGAAAAAATCTAAAATAAATAAGGTTAAGAAAACTGAGTCACCCATCTAAAATCACCAAGAAATGCATCCTCAGATAGATTACACTGCAGAAAAATAAGAATGATACATGTAATCCCTGCCTGGATGAGAAGTACACTATGGCCTAGCTGTCTGATGGCAAATAAGCGTTTCAGAAAGCCTGTCCTTGGATAGGATGCTCACAAGATGACCCATTTACTGACAGAGACTGCTGATGGGATTCAGAAACATGTACACTTTGATTCTGTTCTTCACTGATTTGATGGGAAGAAACTGTATCGTGGCTAGAGTGAGGCTGTTGACTTGATTCCTGAGCCAGCTGCACACATTGAGCTGAATGTGAAGATCCTGCTAAGTGGATTTGTTCATTTTGTCCTTGATGAGCATGGAGATGTTCTAGTGCTTCCTTGGAAAGAGTGATTACATGCATTTGTTCAGGTTGGGCAGCCTCTATTTGGTTTGCAATCATATTGATGCTTTGGATTTGTTCTGCTTGCTCCTGCTGAGCTGAAAGCAACAAGTTTTGCAGCTGCTGCGGTGGCTGCGCAAGCAGCGTGAGGTTTGCAGCCTGCTCTGTTGTCATGTTTGGGGCATCTTCTGCAGTCACAATACTAATGCCTTGATTATGGCTAGGCATAAAGTTGATGTTGTGCACTGCATCTGTAACCAGCAGTTGAATTTCCTGCCCTCCAGAGGTGGCAAGTTGGTACTGCTGCAGCTGGAGTATGTTTCTCACTTCTGGGTGAGTGTTGGTGCTCCGGGCAGCACTGGCTTCCTGAAACTGCTTTTCCTTGCTATGAATTTTCAAATGAGACTTCAGGTTGTCCAGACGAGCAAACTGCAAACTACACTCTGGACAGGAGAAAGGCTTCTTCCCTGTGTGTAAGATACAGTGTCTTCTCTTAGCACTGGAATCAGAGAAGGATTTTCCGCATATACCACAAGAATATGGCTTTTCTCCTCTGCAAAAGAAGACAATCTGATCTCATTAAAATATTCACTTAGTGCTGCTTTCTGCAACTTGTTCTATAATGAAATACTTAAAAGATTACCTTGTTTTGCTAAAATCATAAGCTCTTGAGAATAGTGACATTAAAAATGTTCTCCATTTGGCTTCCTGATTTTTTCTACTTGACTTCACAAACTGTACAACTCTTCGATTAGTATATACTCAAGAGCTACAGAGGTATCTTCCCTCATGTCATAACCCCAGAGGTACAAGCTTCGTGCTGCTAGACCTTGCCAAGAATGCAACAGCTTACTTCGCACAGCTCTAAGCACTGACTATTTTAAGAACATTTACTAACAGAGTGGGCTTTAAAACAAAGTGTCGTGTCCAAATCCTAACTTGCTGCCTGAGTCAAAGGGACTCAGGCAGCAAGAAATTTTACTGGAAATGTTTTCTTATACAGCAGTTCCCCAGAGATTTAAAATCTAACATGCCTTTACGCATCACATTGACAAGGGTAAAAGACAACTAATGCTATTAATGAGACATGACAGATTACAGAGTAACAGGACAACGCTCCAATAACCTTGTTACACCATGCCTACTGTTCTGCTGTCGCACAAAAATTTACAGTAAAATTTTCATATAAATAATGTAGCAGTAAGTACCTTGTCATTGAACAGACACAAAACACCAGAGGAGACTCTTACAATGTCTTGGCACATGAGTATTTAGCAGTTCAGTACTTTCCATTACCACTTATTTCCTTATATAGATTAAGCAAAAATTTTAGTCTTTACCCATCCACCCAAAATGCAATGAAGTCCTAACCATTCTATAACTGAACAAGCACTACCCACAGGTTATCAGATTAGAAGTTACATTTTTAAAGAATGTAATGAAAATTAGACATACTCTACCTGTGAATTCTAATGTGAGTCTGAAGTGAACTTTTAGCTGTAAATGATTTGCCACAAATCTCACAAGTGAAGGGCTTCTCACCTATCAAAAAGAAATGTGACATCACTTTTAATATAGCACTTCTCATCAATACATTAAAAACATTTTATATTTTACCATACACAGTATCAAGTGAACACTGACAGTTCCTCACATTTCTGACATGGGTCAGGACAGATATCCAAAGCTGAATTAATTCATTTACTCAAAATGAGGGTATAGTATTTTAAAAGTACACCTCTGGCATTTCTCCCCTTTGAAGATAAAGAACTAGGTGATCCAAGCCCTCAGTGCAACCAAAAGCTGTACCTATGACACAGAAGAGGGTTTTCCACATAGAACAAAAATGTTTCAAAAAAGGATGGCCCTGAACCAGTAGGCATTAATGCTAGGATCATGTGCAGCACCATGCAGATAAGTAAGCCTGAATTTTCACAGCTAGAAAGTGAATCCATTATCTTAACAAGTTGGCTGGCTTTCTCTAAGGCTCCATCACACTGGGCCTATGATATTCTGGGAACACCAGTTGGAAAAAAATGAAATTATCATGGGTTGAATAAACTGTGAGTTTGTTTGGGGTTTTTTTTATTTGTTTATTTGTTTGGGGGTTTTTTTACGACATTTAGAATTTTTGTGTCTAATTGAGTAGAAGCAGAAAGACCAAATTAACTTATAAGAAGGTTCATAAGAAACAGATACTACCCAACCAAAGCAAATCCTAATTCAGACCATAACAAATCTCTGGGATTGTGTTGAGGTTCTTTAAGACACCAGACATGAGAATGCAGATCACTACTGTGTTAATTCACACCATCAAAGCACACTAAACCCAGGGATTTGACAGCAGCCAGTTTCCAAGGAAGCCTCACATTTAGCACAGAACTGCAATGCTTACCTGCCTTCATATTGCTTTGGAGGGCAGGGATGAAGGATGAAATAACAAGAAACATTCGTCAGAAGGGACCTCTAGTCATCTAGTCCCAGCCTATTACTGAAAACAGGAGTAACTTCCCAGGGAGACTGTATTATTATGACAGTGTTACCAAACTGCTGCCAAAGCAGAACAGTCATATCAATTTTAATACCTGTCCCCAAAATGCTTTGGAATTTTACTTTTTGCTTCTGAGATGAGATAGATCAATTATTATTTCTGCATAATTAATACTGGTATCTTTTCTGGAAGCAAAATATATTGCAAGCCAGTTTCTGCTAGAATTCAGCTTCATCTATTTTTGCAACTTCCTTTGCAAGTATGCTTCCTCTTCTCATTTCCCACACCAAATTCATTTCCCACTACATTTAGAGAGCTTTAACACCTTCAGCTACAAAACTGGTGTGTGTGTCAGTAGTATGCTTGAGACTGAGTTATGTATTACAACTGCAGACAACATGCGAAAGAATAATTTGATTTCATGAGGAAAAAACTGCCACCGTTTACAGTTATTTTAAAAGACAAAACTATTCACACATCACCTTATGGACTTACCCTTCAAAGAAAACTATTTTAAGAAGTTTATGCCTTGTTATTACAAGAGGGTAGATCTGTTCTCCAGTCATTCACTACCACCTTGCCCTCTAAAACTTTTAAAACACCCTCTGCCATACTCCCTCCCAGCCCACCTCCTCTCAATATCTGGTTTATTACAGTGCAATAAAAAGGTAAATGGAAATAATTATTTTTCTGGTCACAGCCCTTTCCATAAGCACCCATCCCTCACAGACAGGGGTGCCCAACTCATTAGGACACACACTTTCTGTTACTTAATTAGCTCAATGAAAGCCCCACAGATGCTGGATGCAGCTGTCCTGACAAACTGAATTCCTGGTCTAGGATTTTATCATAGGAAAGCTAACTGGCATTTTCTGCAGCAGGCTTTGTAAAAATGGAGGATAACCCCTCTTCCTGTAATAGGCACTGCTTCTGCTGCTGCAAACCAAGCTTTTTTGTGCTCCTGCATTCTTGATGTCAAATCTCTTCATTAGCAATACAGGCTTCATTATGTACAAATAGAGCAGAAGTTCCACAGAGACAACTGTCATTTGCCTAATATTGTTTTGTCTATGTAACTTCAAGAAAAAACAAACCACAAGACCCACAAAAGACAAGGAACAACATTACCTGTATGTGTTCTTAGATGTTTCTTTAACTGAGCTGCGTCCATGAATTTGCGACGACACTGGCTACATTCCGGCAGTGAACGGCCTTGTCGCAATAATAAAAAAAGTGTCAGTGCATAAGTCATCCCCTGTATCTCTTCAGTGATCTTTGTTAAAGCACTTTCCTGTAAAATAACCACTTTGATATAATATAGAGATAAAACAAAAGGTTTTTTTTCACTGCCTCCTCCCTATCTTAACTGTCACACTCCTGTTTCTCTATTAAATATTACCATCAGAAAAGAGAGGACTGACATCTGCTCCTGCCCAAACACATCTTCTCTTGAAGCTTTGTAAATTCTTATCTTCTCCACCACTTCCTGTGTGTGTAACTTAATCTCCAACCTGCTCCAGAAGTGAGTACGACACTTCCTAAAGCTTGTTTGCCATTACTAGTCCAAGGCAATTTGCACACCAGGCGGCGGACACAATTATTTATACAATTCCTAGCTTTGATGTAACATGGACAGCAGGGCTAAAATAATACAGTTGTATGTCAAATACAGCGTTACTAATTTTTAATCATTGTAAGAGCCCTTCTCAATGAACTGGTTTTTTACACATTCCATTTACTACACACCGTTTTATCTTTTTTCACTCTATCCACTGTTATATCAAGATGTGACACATCAGACACTTAATACATCACTGAGGAAGAACTTTCAGCCTTAGTCAATCTTTGGGAAGACAAATCAGCATGGACTGTAAGCCAGCTCCTTAACCCAAATTTGTTATACCTGTGTGTACTCGATAGTGGCTCTTGAGCTGTCTCTTTTGGCTGAAGTATTTCCCACACTGATCACATGTGAAAGCCTTCTGCCCTGCAAAAAAAATCACTTATTAAAAAGTAAGCCACGTCCAAAGCAAGAGTAAGAAAATAAATAAATACATAAGCCAGCACACACGAGACAGAGCAGAAATACCTTTTTTTCAGAAAGACAAATTCTTGGAGCAGAGAGGCTACATTTGCCTTGAACTATTTACCTGTATGTAGGCTCATATGCTCCAGAAGAGAATGCTTTGTTGTCAGGGCCTTACTGCAGACAGTGCACGTGTATGGCCGTTCCCCAGTGTGCATCCGCTCGTGGACCTGAAGAGAATGCTTCTGGGAAAAGCCTTTGCCACACTCACTGCACTTAAAAGGGCGCTCTCCTGAAAGCAAAAGATGACATTTTTAGGTATAGATGCATTATTTCTCACTCGATATTCTAAGCTGACAGTGAGATGCATTGCAATGTAGTAGCTACAAAAAAACTACTCCTGAGTAGCGGTGAGAAGAATTGAGACAAGCTTCACATAACAATAATTTTTTAACTATTGCCATATAATTCAGTCTTTAAACAGCAAAATTATTAACTAAACTGAAGTCAAGATGAGACATAAAGACCCTGAGATCTGCTGGCAAGAATAAAACAGCGAACACAGGAGACACACCAGAATTTGGATTAGCATGATATTTTGGATAGCTCTTGCTCTAGAAAACAGCCAACATTTCAACTACTTGCTCGCATTTAGCACCATCACTAAACCCTAATCCAAAACCAGCAGTCTTTTAATGCCTACCTGTATGACTTCGTTGGTGTATAGCTAAGAAGTGATTATACTTAAATACTTTGCCACAGTCTTTACAGCGAGCTTCAGAACCCGCACGTCTTCTTTTTCCATCAGTTCTCTTTGCCAGTCCTTTTTCATCCTCATCCCCGAGAAGTTTATAGTCCTTTAGTTTGATTGATCTCCTTATTCTACGTTTGCTGTAACGGCTCTGAGTACTCTGTATTCCTTCAGATTTGGGATCATAGTTTTCATCTTTCTCAGCTGACAGATCAACAGCAGCCTCTGAGCCACGAGCAGGTTCAGTTTCTTCTCCATCTTTCCTCACTGGAGCCTGTTCACTGGCGACTGCTTCTTCTGCTGCAGTGTCTTTTTTCACAAAATTTTGCTTATTTTGCATGGAGTTGTTCTCTCTCAGCTGCACATCTTCGGCAGAATTTGCTCCTGATTCTTCTTCTTCTTGGACAACCTTGATTTTCCTCGGTCGCCCTCGTTTTCGCTTTGGTGGATCTTCATTTTTGTTGTCGCTTGCAACAACAGCTACAGAGGCTCCACTGTTTGCTGAAGCTGGCAACGCATTACCTGGGCTACAGCTGGCCAGGTAGTCTGTACAGACCCATACCAAGTCAGTCACTTTCAGCAGCTGTGCAGTAGCCAGGATTTGTTCTGTGCTTTTCTCACTGGCACAGAGGCAACCAGTGTAGATAAATTCTAGCAGAACTCCAAAGATGTCTGCAACCATTCCCTCCAACATGTAAACTGACTGTCCTATTTCACCCTCATTTACAAACATCATTGAGAAGTATTCACTGCTGGCAGCCAGCAAGGCCTTATGGGCTCTGAATTGCACATTCTCCACTATCAAAGTAATGTCGCAAAGAAAATCCTTTTTCCTCTGTTCTTCAAAATTAGCTAGAATAGTATCTTTGTGAGCTTTGGAGTGGATGATGACCAGTTTCTCAGAACCATCAGGAGTTGCTTTTGCCATTTTAATTACAAATATAAAGGAGGTGCCTACAAAAACAGAATAATTTTAAGAAATAATTATTTTAGCAATCTGCATTGTAAGACACCAAACATCATCTGCTTTACCAGTAACAGAGTTCAAGAGTTTCTGAAGCAATTCTGAATCCTCTGAACTTTTGAAAAATAAACAGTATTGCTGACACAGATTTTCTTCAAAAAGTGCTTTTAAATCCCATGGAATGGCTACAGATAGTTTCTTTGGTCAGAATCACTGCCTATCATTTGTTTATCTCTGATGTACTGAGATCTCTGTATTATCTAAAAAAATTGCGACCCGTTCTGAAATCTCCTTTCCTAACTAAAATAATCGGACAAAAAGAATTGTTTGTTCATGGCTCCTTAGTAGACTACTGGGTTTGCATGGCAAAATTTTGTTAGTGGGGCAGCTACAGGGGTGGTTTCTGTTAGGAGCTATTAGAAGCTTCCTTAATGCCCTACAGAGACACCACCATCTGGATCCAGGACGGACCAGCCGCTGGCCAAGGCTGAGCTCATCAGAAACAGTGGTAATGCCTCTGGGATAACAGATTTAAGAAGGGTGAAAAATACCTCCACAACTGAGCTAGAGAGGAGTGAGAAACAGCCTTGCAGACACCAAGGTCAGTGAAGGAGGGAGAGGAGGTGTTCCAGGCGCTGGAGCAGAGGTTCCCCTGCAGCCCATGGTGCAGACCATGGTGAAGCAGACTGTCCCACTGCAGCCCATGGAAAACCCCATGCCAGAGCAGGTGGATGCCCAAAGCATTTGGGACCATTTGGGAAGACCTGCTGGAGCAGGCTCCTGGCAGGACTTGTAGTCCTTTAGAGAGAGAAGCCAACACTGGAACAAATTTTCTGGCAGGACTTGTGACCTCGTGGGGGACCCATGCTGGAGCAGCCTGTTCCTGAAGGACTGCATCCCTGGAAGGGACCCACACTGGAGCAGTTTGTGAAAAACTGTAGCCTGTGGGAAGGACTCACTTTGCAGAAGTTTGTGGAGGACTGTCTCCTGTGGGAAGGACCCCATGCTGGAGCAGAGGAAGCATGTGAGGAGTCCTCTCATTGCAGAGGACAGTGGCAGAGACAATGTGTGATGAACTGACCATAGCCCCCATTCCCCATCCCCTTGCACCACTGAAGGGGGATAAGGCAGAGAAAAGCATGAGTAAAGCTAAGCCTGGAAAGAAGGGAGGAGTGAGGTGACCACCTGTTTTAAGATTTGGTTTTATTTTTCATTATGCTCCTCTAATTTCATTGATTTCATTCAATAAACTGATTTCCCCAAGTCAAGTGTGTTTTGCCTGTGATGGTAATTGCTGACTCATCTCTTCTTGTCCCTGTCTTGACCCATGAGCTTTTTATTATATTCTCTGTCCCTGGTCCAGCTCAGGATGGGAGTGATGGAGTGGCTTTGGTGGGCACCTGGCATCCACCCAGTGTCAACCTACCACACTGGGAACAAAAAAGGTCAACTGCAGTTTTATCATTGCAGATTATTCAGGGATAAGGCTATGAAATCCTGTAATTGATGGTAAAACTTCATTGGTATCAGTATGGCAGAACTTCATGACTTATATAATTCTAAAAGTTTCTTTTTCATAACACTCTACCTACTAAGCTTCAGCCTATGGAGGTAGGCAATAAAAGCAGAAAAACACCACTTTAAAGCACTCTGTCTAAAATAGGGTTGATTATGGTAATTATTAACCATCAATTTGACTTGCTAAGAATTGTAAATTTGAAAAATTAATAACAAACAAAAAAACCCCAAAGATTTCTGAAGAGTCCACCAAATATTATTATGGAAGAGATGTGCCCAAAATGCCCAATTTACAAGGCTCACCTGAGCCAAAGATAAAACAAATTAGCTACCTGCCATCTTAATTTATACAAGTGTCATATCAAACACAAAAAAATTTGCATATTTGAATTTAGTGAATGCAGTAGTTTCAATCACCTGAACAAATACTGCATGAATCAACATAACACTACCTACAGATGATACCTAAATGCTACTGCGGTGGTGAAAAAGTGATTCTTTAGCCCAAATCATCTACCGAACAGTTCATGGTGGAGTCAAATTGTTTTATCTGGGAGCTTTAATTTCCGGAGGATGTGAGCCTGAAGTTTGTTGCTGGGACACCTGAAGGCACAGCTGCAGGTGTGATCCAACTCTGCCTTCCCGTGCATTCCAAGAACTCCCGAAGACCTGCTGCCAACCCTGCCTGCAGGCATCCCCTGACACCCACACGTCTTAGACGGGACAGTGGGTGTTTTGTGGCTTTCGATCACATCAAAGACTTTGGCGTTTAATCAGGAGGTGACACCATCAGTATCTTGACCGCAAAATCCAAAACACCCGCCCGCCTTTCCTAAAAAGCCCTAACAATTTTAGAGTGAGGCTGTGCACAAGCGGGAGGCCCCGCTCCAGCCGTGGAAGGGCTCAGGAGCTCCCGGGAGTGACCCCGGGGCGCAGCGCACGGCCCAGGGATGGGTCCCAACACCGGCACGGCCAAGGACACCGCGCGGGAACAGCCCCAACAGCCTCGGCGGGAGCGGGGCCGGGAGGGCACTGGCGCCACCGCAAGCGCCGCCTCCCGCGCCCGTGTGAGCCCCGAGACTCGCTGCGTGACTCGCTCCGCAGGTTCGGGCCGCCCCCCGGGGAAGGCCGCCCGTCCCTCTGCGGGGCCGGAGCGAGGAGCGGGCGCTGCCCCCCGAGAGCCGCGGGCCCGCTCCCCCAGCGCCGCCGCCGCCGCCGGCCCTGCCCGGCACTCACCCGGTACCCGCCCCGCACTCCCGGCTCCGCCGCCAGCCCCGCCGCTCCGCCGCCGCACTTCCGGCACGGGCGGGGACGGGACGGGGCTGGAGCCGCGCGTGCGCTGCCGCAATGAGCGATACACGAGGCGGGACCTGGAGCCGCGGAATTACAGAGCGGCCTGAGCTGGAAGGGACACGCGGGGGTCGTCCGCTTCCAGCTCCCGGCCCTGCGCAGGACAGCTGCAGGGATCACACCATGTGCCTGAGAGCGTTGTCCAAAGGCTTCTTGAACTCTGTCAGCCTTGGTGCTGTGGCCACTTCCCTGGGGGTCCTGTTCCAGTGCCCAACCACCCTGTAGGTGAAGAACTTTTTCCTAATATCTAATCTAAACCTCTCCTGACACAACTTCAGGCCATTCCCTGTCACTGGTCGTGTCACTGGTCACCAGAGAGATCAGTGTCTACCTCTCCACTTTCCCTCGTGAGGAAGCTGTAGACTGCGATGACGTCTCCCCTCAGTCTCCTCCAGGCTGAGAAAGCCAAGCAACCTCAGTCACTCTCCATATGGCTTCCCCTCAAGGCCCTTCACCACCTTTTCAGCCCTCCTTTGGACACTCTCTAACAGCTGAATATCTTTCAACTTCAGACAAAAGATTTTATTTCTAAGATTTTGTGATTAAGAAACTGGTCCGAGAAGGTGTGACATTCACGGGCCATGTTGTAGGCATGCTGGTGGGTCATGGCAACGCTCCACACTTTAAACCATGGAAACTGGAGGGGGAAAACGGCCCGCACTACACAAAACTGGGACGCGTGTCTTTCAGGGAAAAGAAAGTCTGCACTTTGTCGTCAAGGCCAAGGGGCCGATCTCTTGGCTCCTGGTATGGGCCTGCCATGGCAGTCCCCAGGTAGGGTATGAGCTGGCAGTGCTCCAAGAACTGCTCCAGCTTCCTCTTGTACATTTGTCGCACTGGCTCTGAGCTCCGGGGGTTGTATGCTGCAAGAAGTTAAACAGCATGTTAGTGTGCCCTGTCAACTTTGTGGAATTACATTACAGAATTTTCAAAGGAACCAAGTCTACCCCCGATGATGTTACCTGTGGTACAGATAAACCTTCCCTGGGCTGTGCCCATTGGTGCCAAACCAAAAGATCAAGACTGGTGTTTCAGAAAGTTCCTGACTCCAAAGGGTAACAATACTTGGAAAGATCAGGCTTTTGTAAACAAAGACACAACAAACATGCTCAGCTGCTGTCAACTTCCCATTCCTCAGGGCGTGAGGTGCTGGTGAAACTCCAGGCAATGACAAATTTGGGTAGCGTAGCAGATACCCTTAAGTGGAGCAGCCTGGGGATGGCCCAGGCCTGGTGTTGCTGGCATCAGGCCACTGTGTCCTAGGCACAGCTGTTCTATGACCTAAATGCTTTGCCCATAAAAAGTGAAGAGATGACCAACAGTGTAGAGGAGGGAGGGTTTCTCTCTGCCCTAAGCCCTATTTTACATTAGTATTGAGTGCCAATCTTCAGAGTACACTATTATCTTAATTGTTACCCTGCAGCAAAGGGGAAGAAGTGACAGCCAAATCACAACCAATTTTTTCCTGTGGACACTACTTCATATCTCATTATAAAAATTGGACAGCATGAAGAACTATGCTATGAGATGCTTCAGCCCACTAGCTTTAAATTGCAGACAGCTGCATTTAACAGCCTCTGAGAGATTTTTCAAGCATAGCTGCACGTAGAGCTCTTCCAGGAGTCAAGCTTGAAGGGCACTCCATCACTCTAGTGACGTATGGTTTAACACTTTTCTCAGAAGTAAATCTCTCTGCGTTTATGGTTGATCACCTGTACTTTCTCAGATACTGAAAGCAATCCAGTGTTGTTGTGAGAAAAGCTGAAGGAGCAACTAAACCACTGTTTCTTGTCCCCTATTTAAATGTGAGATTAGAAAGTGACATAAGTTAAAGATAAGAAAGTCTTACTTTAAACAGAAATAGGATGAAATAAATTTCCAGGGGACCACAACGTGAAGCACTTTGATCAAATTTTGATCAAGGATGGCACGACTACTGTGAAGAGATGCACAATAATAAACAATGTAATATTTGGAACAATCACAGAATGGGTCAGACTGGGAGGTACCACAATGAGTCCTCTGGTCCAACCTCCCTGCTCAAGCAGGGTCATCCTAGAGCACATGGCACAGGATTGTATCCAGGAGGTTCTTGAGTGTCTCCAGTGAGGGAGACTCCACAGCCTCCCTGAGCAACCTGTTCAGTGCACAGTCACCTACACAGTAAAGATGTTCTTCGTGTTCAGGCAACTCATCAGTGAACAGGAATGCTGTATCTTAAAGTTGGAAGCAGTTCTACCTGGTGTTAGAAGAAGATAACTTGTTTTCCTGGATTCCTGTGGTCAAACTGTTCAGCACTGCATGAGGAGAAGAGATTTGTGCACTTGCATAACCTTTCTGATTAATCATGCAGTGCTAATAATGATTTTAATGTTGCAATATTTGACCAAAGCATTTCCTAGAGGCAGCATTGTTGTGTTAGCAAAGCTGTTCTAACAATAGGATGAAAACAGCCTTTGTGGATGGAACAAACTACTAGGATAAATGCAGTTTGGCATCTTAAGAACTGTACATTTATGCACATTTACCATGTGCCTTCCCTGTTGACTAGTTTTCCTTAACAAAGCTATGCTAGTAAAAAAATCTGTGATAGTTCAAGAAGATTCTGGAGGACTCTGGAAACTGCATGAGGAAACACAGGATGTGAAGAACTTTTAACAAATAATAAAGATTGGTATTATCTAAAAGAAAAAGGAAAAATGTAAAATACAAAAGACAAGGTAAAGTACACCCACTGAACAGGTTGACTTCTGTAAGACAAAACTGGTGGGTTGAAAGAAATGTCAGTCTTGCTTCAGAAATCTCCAGCAGTACTGGAAACCAGACCAAAGCTTCAGCAGAGCTGCAAACAAGGATGTTGAAATCGAGAAAGCTGGCACCATTTAAGCTGATTGTAAACTATTAAAGATTACTATTTGTAATCTGTATCTTGGATTAAAAAAAACCCCAAAATTCTAAAAAACAGCAGCTATGAACATGGAAGATAAAACTAGAGCAACTTTCCTCAGTGCAGGAGCAGTCCTAACCTCTGGTAGCTCCGTGAGAAGTTTTACTTTATCCTTATCTTGTGGGCTGAGTAGAAACACCTAATTTTTAATTTTGGACTGTTTATCTTTGTTACGGAAAAGTAAGGTCATTTGGACTATCGATTAAATTAAGAAGTCAAAAATAATCAACACATTACTCTGAATCACATTAATATTGAGATCTTCCCAGATAATTTCACAAATAAACAGACTATAATAAATACTATTTCATTTCTCTGCTAAAAACTTAAAAGTCATAACGTTGTCTTCAGGGTATCTGCAAGGCAAGGTTTCTTACTAAGTTTTATTTGGCCACATGATGCCGTTGAAAAAAGGCAAGCATTCAGGCACCTAAACTATGCCTCAGATAGTATTTCAGCAGCCTTTTGATACAGTAATATAAGTCAATTTTTAAAACAATTCAGGTTGTCTGTGACTAGTTTAAAATGCAGTACCACTTGAAATGTATCATTTTACTTCCTGTTTAAAAACTCCAACAATTCCTGTTAAAAATGTTTTCAAGGCCATCAGGCTGTTGGTGATAAAGCATTATTAAAGTCTCGTGATTTGTGAGAGATCACTTACCTGTCTACCTATTCTGTTAACCTTATTTTCCTCCCTGGTCCTTGCAAATTTCCAAGAAACTTAGATCAGTATATAATAGTGTTTTTCCATGTTTGACATAAGAAAATGACACCAATTAGCTATAAATGTTGTATCAGATTATTTATATAATTTTCATATTTAATTATTTTTATAGCATATTATTTTATACACTACCTTTTAAATGGAAGGAGACAAACAGCAGAGCAGTTTCTTTTACACTTAGGAATGGAAATTTTGGCTTAAGGCTGCCTACTTCATGCAGAGCTTTTATTAGAGAAGTTGCTACTCCCTAAAGGAAGAAAACAGTTTTAGAAGATCATTACAGAAATCTTGAAAAAAAAAATATTCAAAGCCTTATCCTGTTGTCATGCAGACCTAACAATATAGGATGACACCCTAAGCTGTAAAGAGTAGAAGATAACAAATAGTATAAAATAGGCAGGGCAGTGACCATGAATCATTTTTTTATTTATTCATGTGTCAAAATGTAACAAACTATCCTTAGATGATTCCAGATAAGCTTGTGTCTATTCTAGTGTTAAAAATCAAACAAAAATGTAATCTTACATGATATCATAAAAAACTAAGTAAGAAAATCCATCATTTAATACTGCAGTTTATTATCCCCCTCTGATGGACTTGCATTTTTTCCCTTAAAGCTACAAATATCTATTAAATTTTCAATTTAATATAATCCTATTGATAAACATAAGACTCATATTGCATTAAAAATTAAGTAAACTGAGTAGGACATACTATACATCACAAAATCATGTTTTAAAATAGAAAAGCAAAAACTGGCCTGTTCAAGGTATCCAGCCAAAGGAAGTGCAGTTAGTAGCATTGGCTCCTTTTTTGGAGGGAGTTTATGGGGAAGCTTCAGATTCCAGTACTTCTCTGGTAACCTAACCAGATAAAAAGTAAGCACTTCTAACATGTATAAACTGTGACATGATGGAAGATTAAAATGCAATTGGTATATTCACCTCATAAACTTCTGAAGTTTTTCTTCACTTTCAAAAATATATACTTTATCTTGATATTTTGCTGCATACTCCATATTGCCAGGCACCAAGGCTTCATATCTGAAGAGACGGAGCAAGAACATCTAGTCATTCCCAGGAAATGTAAAACATAATTTGTGCGGTGTAAATTCACGAGCCTTCTGATTATTAACAAGTATAGAAACACCAAAAAAGTAGCAACTGGATCATCCAACTTTCCACTACATGACTGACAGTTACAAGGCTCAAAATCTGAGAAAGCCTCTGCCTCAAAATTTGGTTATTAAGGAACTTTTACAGTGCTTCCTTAGAGCAACTTCATTTAAAATGCCAGTCATGGTTGTTTAGGAGATTAAGAAGGGTTAGCATAGAATTGGCTAGTATGGTTCTATTCTGATGAGAAATTCTTGCACACTGAGGAAATCAGTGGAACTTTATACTGGAGCTTTATGGATCTCTTACAAAAATCATAATAGCTTGGTTTGCATCTACTAGGATGTTATGAGATTTCTTTGAACCATTGAAGGCTTATGATAGAGAGAATTCTGTCCATCTTTGTCATGATGTCAATACAGATCCTTGTAGAACCTGTAGCCATATAAGTTTTAAAAGGTGATTTTATATTGATTTCCAAAGCCACAGGCACAATATAGAGAATTGTAATCGCTTCCTGTCCAAACACTGAACACTATTGAAAAGTATTTTGAAAGTGTTTTCTCATTAATGTGTTAATATGGGACACATAGTCTGTAATTCAGATTATGAAAACTCCAGTGACCTACCTCTGTTTTCCATCTAGGTAAGTGACTGGACAGTATCCCTGCATTTCAGCCCTTAGAGGGAATGAGGCCTTCATTTCTGCCACAGTCAGTTTCTTTGGTAGCATATGGGGGGGTGGGAGAGGATGAGGTGCCAGTGATGACACATAAATCTCTGGTGTGAGCAAGAATTTCTGTGGAAAAGGAAACATTTTTATAATGAAAGAAGCACTGTAAGACTGTTAGTCAAACTACAGAGGGCTGGCTCACACAGTTTAGATACTTAGTTCTTCTACAACGCAACAGCGTGTTGGCACTGCTGCTGCTCTTGGATAAGTAATTTTTTTTCCAACCCACTCTCAGTTAAGTCATCACTATCCACCCACCATCCATCAATATCCATTGCTA